GTGTCTCTCTCTCTGTGTCTCTCTCTCTCTCTCTGTGTGTCTCTCTCTGTGTGTCTCTCTCTGTGTCTCTCTCTCTCTCTCTGTGTGTCTCACTCTGTGTGTCCTCTCTCTCTCTCTGTCTCTCTCTTCTGTGTCTCTCGTCCTCTCTCTCTTGTCTCTCTCTCTCTCTCTGTGTGTCTCTCTCTGTGTGTCTCTCTCTGTGTGTCTCTCTCTGTGTGTCTCTCTCTGTGTGTCTCTCTCTGTGTGTCTCTCTCTGTGTGTCTCTCTCTGTGTGTCTCTCTCTGTGTGTCTCTCTCTGTGTGTCTCTCTCTGTGTGTCTCTCTCTGTGTGTCTCTCTCTGTGTGTCTCTCTCTGTGTGTCTCTCTCTGTGTGTCTCTCTCTGTGTGTCTCTCTCTGTGTGTCTCTGTGTGTGTGTGTCTCTCTCTCTGTGTGTCTCTCTCTGTGTGTCTCTCTCTGTGTGTCTCTCTCTGTGTGTCTCTCTCTGTGCGTCTCTGTGTGTCTCTGTGTGTCTCTGTGTGTCTCTGTGTGTCTCTCTGTGTCTCTCTGTGTCTCTCTGTGTCTCTCCGTGTCTCTCTGTGTGTCTCTTTGTCTCTGTGTCTCTGTGTCTGCGTGTCTGCGTGTCTGCGTCTCTGCGTGTCTGCGTGTCTGCGTGTCTGCTTGTCTGCGTCTCTGCGTCTCTGCGTCTCTGCGTCTCTGCGTCTCTGCGTCTCTGCGTCTCTGCGTCTCTGCGTCTCTGCGTCTCTGGGTCTCTGCGCTCTGCGTCTCTGCGTCTCTGCGTCTCTGCGTCTCTGCGTCTCTGCGTCTCTGCGTCTCTGCGTCTCTGCGTCTCTGCGTCTCTGGGTCTCTGTGTCTCTGTGTCTCTGTGTCTCTGTGTCTCTGTGTCTCTCTGTGTCTCTGTGTGTCTCTGTGTGTCTCTGTGTGTCTCTGTGTCTCTGTGTCTCTGTGTGTCTCTGTGTCTCTGTGTGTCTCTGTGTCTCTGTGTCTCTGTGTCTCTGTGTCTCTGTGTCTCTGTGTCTCTGTGTCTCTGTGTCTGCGTCTGTGTCTGTGTCTGTGGCTGTGTCTGTGTGTCTGTGTCTCGCTGAAAAAGTAAGAGCGCCAGGGCATTCTAAGATCTGAGGCTCACTCAGCGTGAAAACCGACCGATCTGTTGTGGGAAGCTGTAAACCATACAAGCCACTTGCAGCCACTTCAGCTAGACACTCGCTCAAGCCAGAGGCAGCTCGCCTTCTGCGCCCTTGCCCTCATCGTCTTCTGACGCTTCCTCCTGCTCTAACAGGCCGGTGTCTTCAGTCGCCTTTGGAGCATCTTCACACATGGCCTCGTCCACCGCAGTCTCTGCTTCTGGCACCTCACCGCCTGCCAAAGCTCAATGAGCTAGTGGGGAGAAAGCTTTTTCAAATACTGATATTTGCTTGAGAAAAAGAAGTCGCCACGGTCGAAAGAAGCACATTCGGAGAATCCATGTGTGTCTGTGTCTCGCTGAAAAGTACGAGTGCCAGGGCATTCCAAGATCTGAGGCTCATTCAGCGTGAAACCGACCGATCTGTTGTGGGAAGCTGTAAACCACACAAGCCACTTGTACAGCTAGACGCTCCTGACCAAAGGCTCAAGCCCGAGGCAGCTTGCCTTCTGCGCCCTTGCCCTCCTCGTCTTCCGACGCTTCCGCCTGCTCTAACAGGCCGGTGTCTTCAGTCGAGGCCTTTGGGGCATCTTCACACACAGCTTCGTCCACCGCAGTCTCTGCTTCTGGCACCTCAGCGCCTGCGCAACATGTCCCTACAACCACCGGCATCATACGCCCGCACACACTCCTCTCTCTTGTTCTCTTGCGGCGCGTCGGTGCCACTAGTGCATCCTCTACATCCATTCTGCCATTCCCGAGCTTGTCTCAACTCCCAAACTGGCTCGTTGCTTATCGACTATTTTGCGGGAGATTGGCTCACGCGTTGAGGAGAAACCCAGAGCGCGCCCACAGAACTTGAGGGGCGGATGACCATCATTCACCAAATTGTTGAAGTGATATGATAGGAGAACTGTCACCCCAGAAACTCCTATCAAAATGCAAACCAGCATGCAACCCATGTGCCAAGGCATGCCACAGGTTTGTAATGCGTCTGCTCTGCTGCTCCCATCGTTTCCTACACACAGTGTGCGTCGAGCGGGGGAGGGGGTGGCGGAAAAAAGGGCAATATATGTATATATATATATATACATATATATATATATATGTAATTATATATTCATTCGTTGATTTTGTCCCCTCCCAGCTTCTTTCGCGAATGCAAACACCTTGGAAAGCACGCTCATGACAGTATCTGGAACCACTTAATCACTCGCTCGCTCACTCGCGCGCTCCCTCACACGCTTCCTCCTCTCCCTCATTCCCTCACTCCACTCTCACTCACTCTCACTCACTCTCTCTCACTCTCACTCTCACTCTCACTCTCACTCTCACTCTCACACTCACACTCACACTCACACTCACACTCACACTCACACTCACACTCACACTCACTCACTCACACTCACTCACTCACTCACTCACTCACTCAGTGAGTCACTCACTCACTCTCACTCACACTCACTCACTCACTCTCACTCACTCACACTCTCACTCACACTCACTCACTCACTCTCACTCACTCACTCACTCACTCACTCACTCTCACTATCACTTACTCTCACTCACTCTCACTCACTCTCACTTCACTCTCAC